TACGGAACGATTTTCACAGGAGATTCAATAACCAATGGAGTTGACAGTCGAAACGTATGCATTTTCGCAGAAGGCGAAGTGGATCGATCTCCAACCGGTTCAGGTGTTTCTGGGCGCATGGCGATCCATCATGCGCGAAAAGATCTTGAAATGGGACAAAGCATGTCCATTGAGAGCATCACTGGAAGTGTTTTCCATGGCTCCGTTGTCGAAGAAGTTCCATTTGGAGCATTCAATGCCGTAATTCCACAAGTGGAAGGAACTGCTCACATCACAGGAATGCAAACTTTCGTGATTGATCCAAATGATCCTATGAAAGACGGATTTATCCTAAGGTAATTCTGAATGATGAATGCAGAAAGATAAAAATGGAGCACTGAGGCTCTCGAAGTGCGCTGAAACAACTATAAACTAGTGTAGAGAGTAGAGAGTAGAGAGTAGAGAGTAGAGAGTAAGGTATTGAAAATGTTGGATGTAGAATGATGAAAGATAAATAATGGAGCACTGAGGCTCTCGAAGTGCGAAAAAATGAATTCATAAATGAGTACCGTTGGGTGCTTCGAGATCCTCAGCACTCCTAATGAATATTCAATTTTGCATTCATCATTTATAATTCAACATTTCATTTTACGTGTTCATCAACCCTTCAATTTCCTCGATTTCTATGGGCATTTCTGCAGATAGATTGATGTGACCATCTTCGGTAATGAGAAGATCGTTCTCGAGGCGGCATCCAATTCCTTCTTCGGGGATATAGATTCCAGGTTCACAGGTCAGGACCATTCCAGGTTCGAAATGAATATCGTATGAACCAACGTCGTGAACATCCAATCCAAGATGATGTGCTGTTCCATGCATGAAATAACGCTTGTAAACAGGTCTCTCAGGATCTTGATTCTTTACCTCTTCTTCGGTGATTAGTCCAAGTTTGATGAGTTGCTCTTCGACCAGTTTCGCCATGTTCAACTCATACGCTGCATGATGCACACCCGGCTTCAACCATTTAGAACCTTCTTTCAGACAATGCAATACTGCCGAATAAACTTCTTTTTGTCGATCGGTAAAACGTCCATTTACCGGGAAACAACGCGTGGTATCCGAATGATAATTCCCGTAGCGAACACCAAAATCCAACAGGATCATTTCGCCATCCTCGCATTTGTGGTTATTGGAGTTGTAGTGTAAAACACAAGCATTCTTTCCACTCGCGACAATCGGTAAAAAGGCATGACGCGTTCCTCCATTCTTAATAATTGTGTGGATCAACTCGGCTTCTGCTTCATATTCAAACATTCCTGAACGCGCTGTCTTCAACACTTTCTTAAAGGCTTCCGTCCCGATAGAAACACTGAGCTTTCCGGTGATGGATGCTACGCGATTTCGGCGATGCAGCGGATATTTCTCAGTGAACCACGTAATCCAGCGGTCTTCCTGTGTTTGTTGTTCGCGCGTTG